TGCTCTTTAATTTAGTTTCATAATAAAGAGTTGAAAAGAGACAATAATACACCTAGAAAATAGTAAGAAAAAGCTCTTAGTGTCATAAAAAAAATTATTTATTAGTGTCATAAAAAAAACTATGTAATGTTAAAATATTCATAAAACAATAAATTATAACAAAATACAGTTAAAATCATTAAAGGTTAAATTGTGATAGAAACAAATTTGATATAATCTAACATAGGAATCAACAAGAAAAAAAAAATCATGTTTTTCATTAGTATCTCAGATCTATGAGCTTTACCTTATACGATAAAAATAACTTATAAAATAAAAATAAAAATATTATTTCATAATAGTAGATTAATACAACTGGAAAATAGCAAGAGAAAACTAGAAATGACAATAACATAAATAAATAACTTATAGGCAATCAAAATAAAAAAATAATAAAAATAAAATAACAATATAATTAATAAGTAATAATAAGTATTGTTTTATTACTATGTTCAAATTTATAATAAAAAAATTTGAACTATTCAAGAATCTAAATCCCTTTTTTTTTCAATCTAATTGAGTTCACGACCTGTGTGAGAGAGATCAAACCACTTATTTTTTATATGTAAAAAGTCATATTACAATTTGAAAAATATACTATTATTTTATTACTATGTTCACATTTATAATAAAAAACTAAAACTATTCAAGAATCTAAATCCTTAGTTTTTTTTATTTTAATTGAGTTTCATGGCCTAGGAGAAAGAGAACAAAGCACTTATTTTCTATAGGTATAAAATTCATATTACAATTTGCAAAATATATTATATAGAGATAGAAAAAGACATCACACCTTCTACTTTTCTCTTAAGAAAATATTTTCGAACTAAAAACTCTTTATAAGAGATAAGTAAAGAAAGGAATTTGAGAGAAAGATACGGTGGGGTGTGATAGGCTTTTGGGGTGGGGCATGAGGGTTTATGGTAACAGAGGATGGAAGAGGTTTTTTTCCTAAAAACTAAAGATATTTTGGAAGGGAGAGATTGAGAGAGAGATTTAAACAAGAAATAGATGAGTGAAAAAAAGATATTACTTTAGGAGAGATTTAAGATGGAAGTTATTCCATAGAGGCACTAATTGCCATTAATGACAAGTAGTGCGAGTTAGAGAAAATAAAAATAGTAACACGTAAAAACTGAGCTAACATGGTAGGGAGAGAGAAATAATGGAAGAGAGACCTTTGAGAGGAGAGATTTTAAGAAATTAATGGGAAGAGAGATTTTATCAAAGAAAGAGATAGAGATAAAATGGTAGAAATGAAACCATAAATGATATAAATAAAGGAGAGATGAAATATTATAGGAAAATAAGTGGGATAGAGATTTTAGAAAAGAGAGAGAAAGATAGAAATGGTAGATAGGGTAATTATAAATAAGAGAGATATAAGAGAGAATTTAGAAAGATGGAAGAGATTTTGTAAGGAAATGTGTAAAAAGAGAGAAAAAAAAAACCTAAGGGGCGGGGCCGGGTGCGGGTGCGGTTGCGGTTGCGGGTGAGGGGGGGTGGGGTAATTTATTATAAAGGAGTAAAGACGGACAAGTGGCATGAGGAAGATAACAAAAATAAAAGGAAGAGAAGATGAAATTTTATAGGTAAGGAGAAGGCGTAAGAGGAAGAGACGAAGCGAAAATCGTGAGGGGTGGGGCACATGCAACATAATAGGTAATTTATTATTAAGGAGTAAAGATGGTGGTGGGGTGGGGGGTGGGGGGGGGGGTGGGGGGGGGTGGG